CGATAAACGGGTTCAATATTTGAATTTAATAGATTTTAAATTATCAAATAGTGATATTAAGTTCAAGACACAGTCTAAAAATCTCGATTTTAGATGAATTTTAGAAGATGATCATAGAAAGATACAAACAAGCATGAAAAAAATCAAATAATATAGGGAAATGTAGTCAAGGATGTGAAGTTTCTTGATCAATGACGTTGTTTTTAAAAGACCATAATCTTTTTTTCTTTTCCAATGTATAAAAAAAAAGAATTTTTTTTTTTTTACATTTTTGTAAAACATATATGCTATTCAAATGATGCCTCAAATAAATTAAAAAATGAAATATATTAAAATTTAAAATGATGTCATTGTTAAGATATACTTAATTAAAAAAAATCACATAATTTAAATTTCGAAATGGAACTAAACTTGTGAATTGAAATTTATTTAAGTCTCGAAAAACATTTAAATGAAAAAAAGAGAAAAATATAAAAAGTCAATATTTCCTTTCTCTTCCATGAACAAATTAAGCATATGCTAATAATATCCCTCACCCCCTCCACTATATATAGTATGTGTTCATATATTATGTGGAAAATCAAACATAAAATGTGAAAGTTCATAGAAGAAGTAAAATGGGGAGTAAGAAATAACAGTGCAATTCTCCTTTGGCAAATGAATATGCAAACCCTATATATATATATATATATATATGTTTTGCATACACATTATATTATCTTTGCCAAAGGAGAATTGCCCTGTCATTCTTCTCCTCGAAAACAGGACAGATTCAAAATTAAAGATATATAGGCTTGAGTTTGAAATTCTATCATAACTCGTATAATTGATAATTTATCAGGTAATTCAAAATCTTTTATTTATGTCTATTTAGTAAAAAAAATTTGATACATATTCAATTTTTGAGTTAAAGCTATTGAATTGTCATGATATGTTGTTCTTTTCGTTTAATAGACGGTCACAAATATTTTGAGATGCTCAACCAAACAAGCTAGTAACACAGAGATTGATTTAGAATTTCAACTTTATAAATGCAAATTTGAAATATTAATATAACATCTTTAATTATCGACTTCAAAATCTATTAGTTTTATTTGTTTTGTGACTCTTTTAACAAATATTTAAGATATGAGCTAAAACTATTAAATTATATCGAATTCATAACTTACACTAGATAACCCCTTTTTGCACACACTACTTGCAATTACATATATATTATACTCTCTCTATATATGTGATATGAAACATTTTGCTAGTACCAAGTTAAATGTGTGTCTCCTTAATATATATATATATGTCTTTTATGTAAGATGAATACATTTGATTTTTGATTTGTTAATTTCGATATAGCACAGTCATTCTTCTAAATCAATCACTTAGCCTCAAACATTTCGAATGTGCTCACCAAATTAGTTAGTAATTGTACATAAATAAAATAAATTCAGAATTTAAACTTTATCGATCTTGCTATTTTCTTATTTTTCAAACTCCATAGACAAGTTCTTCTATTCATGCAATTAAATTGACTTCATTTTACCAATAATACTCTTATTTATGATTTAAAATTACTGACTTTATATTTTGATAAACGTTCAAAATTATATATTTATACAATAAATTGATATTTTACGATATTCCAAATTATTAGGATTACTTTTTTTAGGAAAGACGTGTAACAGCGATTTGAAAAATTGTTTCATTGTTAATCAATTAAAATGGCATCATACTCTATCATTCTTTTTGTATCATCTCCTTTTGTTAAATTAATGTCAACACCTATATATATTTAAAAAAACTATGTTACTATTATTACAAGAAAAATTAAATTACTTGTGAAGTCTAAGCTAATTATTACGGATAAAATTAATCCGCACTGAATATTTATAATTACTATTAATTATAAAGAAGGACATAGAATTATTACTAATTATATAAATAAACACTCGATACAGATAAATTTTTTTCAATTATTATTAATCATATAAATAAATATTTAATGCTAATAATTTTTTTTCAATTTTTACTAATTATATTATATTCACTCCCCCTCCCTAAAAAGAATAAAGAAGGAGATAGAATCAAAATAATTACTATTTCCTAGAAAATGATACTATGAAAAGGACTAGAAATAGTAGGAGAAAAAGCATATTATAAAAGGCTGGCATACACCTGAAAAATATTTGTAATTTTCTAGCGCTTTTATAACGGATAAAAACAACTTTTTAAATATAACTTGTAATTTTAATTTTAGTGCCTCTTAACTTCTACTTAATTTTTTTTTTACAATTTTAATAAACGTTGGAGCTTGTACAAAAATACATTTAGAATATAAATTTTATGCATTCGAAATACCAAGAATACTCCATGATATTTAAGTTAATGAGTTTGAAATTTAACATTTCATATTTCGTTCGCGTATATATGTTATTATTATAAATTTTATATGCATTGAAAAATAAATAAGTTTATTAATATACACATATCAAATATTTTCATAAAGTTATGTTTTTAATCAATAAAGATAAATTAATTTATTTTGATCAAGTAATTTGATCAATAAATATGAACTATTTACTTAATTTATTTATGACCATGTCTATTTTTAAAGCTAATAATTCATAAAGATAAAACAAAAAAGATAGTATCACTATTAAAATAACAAATATTAATAACAATAAATTTTATAAAGACAACTTATAAATAAGAATAAAGTAAGTACATGTTTATATGATAGTATTTCATATCATATAGATATTTAAGCTAAATTTACTAAGCTAAGCTTAACCAGTATGGTATCAATGACAAATTTTTTTTTTTAAAAAAAAACAATAGTTAATGTTTGTGTTATACTCTGAATATCCAACAACATCTGGTTGCTTTATGAAATTATTATTTTTCTATTTCATTTTTCAAAATATTATATTTATTATATTCAAAGAGTGATATAACAAAATTATTCGATGAGAGAAAATTGATGGGATGGTAAACATCTCTCACTTTCAACCTATGTGCTGGGTTTAGAGTTCCTAGGGAGAATACAAAAGAAAAATTATGTTTTTATTTACAATTTTCTTAAGAAGTATGCAAAACCAATAATTGACAAGAATTGATGGATAAAGGGAGTAATAGGCGATTCACATTACACACCCCTCAAAATAAAATTATTCTTCTTTGAATCGTGTGTGAATATCAAATATTAATGCTATTATAATAGATGGTTTATATCACACCTGTTAAAATACTATCATTTTTCTTTGAATCGTGTGTGAAATCGAGATAAACTTTAATATTTATATAGTATTAAATCGTCTATATCACACCTCTTGAAGTACTATCTTTCTTCTTCGAATCGTGTTTGAAAACGAGATGTTATGTGCATTGAGCTATCGTTTTTGAGTTGAGCTGTTACATGCATGTAAAATTTGGTTTTCCTGTAGTTAAATCAAACTCCAAGGGCATATATATATACACACCACCAAGACAGTGACCCTTTGTTGTCTCTTTTTCACTATCTTCAATACACCTCTGTAATTGCAAACCATTTTTCCATCTTTCTTCAACAATGGCTTCTTCTTCTCCAGATCCATTTTTTCTTCTCATATTTTTCACTCTTTTCCTCACCATTTCCACTTCAAACTCACTTTCTTCCTCTTCCCCATCACCCCTTTCTTCTCCATCTCCAAAACCATCTCCTATTTCATCTCCACCAACTCATTCATCTTCATCTGCTCTTGACCCAAAACAACTCAAAGCTCTACAATCACTCAACATCCCAACAGGCAAAAGCCCATGTTCCCCATCTCACAATACTACCACTATTTGTGATTCTTCAACCCCATTTAGTCACATTGTGTCATTAAACTTCATTAACTGTTCAGATGATGTTGCATTATCACTTACTGCTTTGAAATCATTGTCTACAGTGAAGGATTTGGGGTTTTACAATTGCCCAATTTCACCTATTAGGTTACCTTCTCAGCTTGCTTTGAATCTGAAATCTTTTACTTGTGTTAGTAGTTTGAAGAAATTAACTGGGGTTTGGCTTAGCAAATTGGTTAATGTTACTGATTTAACTGTTTCTCATGTTTCCATTGTTGCTAGTGGTCCATCTATAATCATGAATAGTATAAAGAATTTGCACAGTGTTACGATTTCGAATGCTAATCTTACGGGCTATTTGCCTAAACATTGGCATTCGAATCTTAGTTATGTCGATTTGTCTGGGAATAAACTGAAAGGGAGAATACCCACTTCGTTAACTGAGCTGGAGAATCTTGTTTACCTCAATTTGTCTTCGAATTCACTTAATGGAACAATCCCTGCTTCGTTTGGTGATTTGTCTTCTTTGCAAAATGTGTCTTTGGCTTCGAATTCGTTGTCTGGATCTGTTCCGGATTCGTTTGCTGCTATTCCGGGATTAGTTCATCTTGATTTGGGCTCTAATCAGCTCAATGGAACTATCCCTAAGTTCATTTCTGATATGAAAGGATTGAAGTATTTGAATCTTGAAAGGAATAACTTTCATGGTGTTTTGCCTTTTAATGCTTCATTTATAAAGAAATTAGCTGTGTTGAAGGTGGGAGAAAATTCGAATCTTTGTTATAATCACTCGACATTGTCTTCTAAAGTTAAGCTTGGGATTGCTCCTTGTGATAAACATGGGTTGCCTATGTCACCTCCAGCATCGAAGGATATAAATTCGGACGATACAGATGATTCTGATGATTATGCTGATGATGAGAGTCAGCACCAGGAACATAGCCATGGACCAAGTAAGGTTGTTCTTGGTATTTCCATTGCACTTTCCTCGATTGTATTCTTAATTATTTTCTTGATTTTGTTAGCTAAATGTTGTAAATGAGTATAAAAATGAAATCTTGGTTCGTTTAGTTTAGGAAATTTCTTAATTGGATTATGAAATTCGTTAAGTTAATTATACGTTTGTATCTTATTAGAAGTAGAAAGGATGACTACTTTATTTGGTGTGATTCTTTTGAACAAGTTAAATTGCTGGAGGAAGTGTATGATGGGAGACATTGCCTATAAATGAAAATTTTTCTTTTATGTATGTATTTTGGATTGACGGATTGAGGTACATCGTTTTGATTTCCTGATATATGGTGACATTTTGTTGTTTGGATTCAGCATTTGCTTCATTCATTTGTTGATTGACAATATGAAAGATTCCTTTATTTTTCATGTGTTGGTTACGAGTCATGACGATGGATGAGATAATCTCTGTCGTGAGGATCCTTCATTTGTCTTGATGTACCCCGTGTCTGATGGGCATGTGGTAAGAGTTTAGAGTACTTCGCTTGGAAAAGGTTGACATACCCATACCAGGTACTTACAAAGAAACTGTACAGAACACATACCCGTAAAAGAGTTCAAGCAACATAATGACAATATGAAGTATCTACCGAATTAGCTCAGTAGTCTATCGTCTCAGGTTTTGCTGCAAAGATCATAGTTTTTGTTGTTACTTGCATGAATTTCTTTGTGCTCTACCGGACTTTCCAGTATTCCTCGTATGCCCTGTGATGCCAGTGATTTTATGAGATCTAACATAATGCTGTGAAAGCAAATATTCCATTGTAGACCAAAAGTTCATTATCTGGCATTTCATTTCATTTGACAGAAGAAGCTCAATTAGTCCCCTCTTTAGCTGTGTTGCTCGAATTCTTCATAAATATGTTCAGGTATGTGTTGATCCTCCAGAGTTTTGCATTTTCGGAGGATCTGACACGGGTGGAGCAACACTTTTGGAGGGTCCGAGTAACAAAGCTCCTTAGCCCCCACTATGGTACCCGATCACCAGAAAGGATTACTAAGGGGTGCTTCCTCGATGGTTTTTCACTTTCATTTTTAAATGCTTATTGTGATAATAGATCGGAGAGTTCACATAGTCAATCCTAACTTGCTTGGGACAGAGGCACAAGTTATTTTTTTTAATGTCGTTTTAGTTATAACGTCTATTGTTTTGGCCGACTGGTGTATTTATTCATTGTTGTGAATCCTTGAGATCTTGTTGGATATGTGATTAACAAGCTATGTATTATTTTATCGTATTTTGTCGTGGCTTCTCGTTATTTCTTTTCCCGAACTACTTTGGTAAGTTTTTCCTTTGAGTCGTGGATCTATCAAAAATAACCTTTAACCTCTCTACCTCTGAAACTGCTATGATATACACTAGGTGTGCTGTATGCCCCACACACCACCATTTCTCCTATGAAATACAAATTTCTTTCAAAGTTATTACTTGTTTTACCTGTTTTTAGCTCATCAAGACTTAAAAATAAGATAGGTACCTACCCAACCATGTTCTTCCAGCTGTTATGTTGAATTTTGTCATGTGAGTTTGGTACTTCCAAGTGATACTCTACTTCCTATGTCTTCCATTAACACCCTAAATGATTGCTTGTTAGGCAGAATTATTCGATACCTAGTATGAAGTAATAGGTAGGTTGTAGGAGCAAAAATGTCCAAACAAAAATAAGTACTATTCCATTAGTCGCGATTTTTGCAAGTTGTCTTGAAATGGTAGCGGTTCACCCAAGCTGTCTTGGACACAATCGTTGACAAAACAAACAAAAGAGTCCATCTACTTTTCTCTCTCTCCCGAGAAGGATCAATAGTATTTTCATTTACATTCGAATTCTCGATCGATAGGTTGATGGTCAAGATGCTCAAATTGAACATATCATAACCTAACTATTGGAGTTGGAAAATAAAGGTCTTGGATTCACTTGTTTATTGATTTTTGTCAGACATTTTGATTACATTTTTCATCATGATTTCCACCATATGTTGGAATTTCAACTTGATCTAAATTTTTTTTTTTTTTTTTTTTTTAGCTTTTTATACACTCAATGTGGGCATACATTAGAAATAAAAAATGGATACTTTATGCAATTGTAACTTTAATATGAGGCTATGACAGGTTGGTAACAAATCTTGGCTTCTATGTGTACAGAATAATAATGAAGGATCATTATAACAGCCAGCTTTGTCCATTATTGTTCATGTGTTTTGTTTAAAAGGGACCAAACCTTATTCTTTCATATTTTAATATTATGAGAAAAAAATTAAATAAATGCATTTACTTCTTCACAGTCCCAAGGTGATAAATCTCACTACTAAAGACGAGATATAATTTTATTCATATTTTCACAATTCTTCCTATTTATTTTGTTGGTATAATGTCTGACTGATTTGGCATAGAGAAAATATTGAAGACAAGTTGTCATGCTATTGTCTTATATTCTATCTATTCATATTTTTATATTAGGATTGAATATCGTAATTTATTGATTTGATTAATCTGAAGTATTTGAGTACTATTAACTCGAATAATTTGAATGCGTAACGTGATATTTTGTAAAAAAAAACAGAATATGTGATATCTTATCACTTAAGATGTCCAAAAATGAACATTTAAACAACTTTTCAGTTAGCAATGTGTTCCCTTCCTTAGTATAGCCTATCCTATGCAAATCCAAGTAAGTCAGATCAGTAAATTTCGATACACATGAATTTTAAATATGAGATGATTAAATGAAAAAGGAAACGTAGTGTATATAACCTTGTATTCGAAATTTCGAGGTGATTTATACAAATTTCTACGAAGTTCAAATTATAGTGGCAAAAAAAAAACAATTTTTGCCACTTTCATAAATTTTCCAATATAAATAGGATTGGAATAACTTATGTAATTATTTAATTTTTCACCTTATTGCATTAGAGTTGCACTAGTAATTTTCCAGTTTGTTTTTTTTTTTTTTTTTTTAAGTTCAATCAGTTTACAGCATAAATATAATATTCAAGTCAACTATTCAGAAACATTGAATGAGATTACTTTCCCAGAAGGACAAGGAACAAGACACCACATACTGACTTTTCATCTAGAGGATCAACATCTCTTTTAGAAAATACAATAAAAATAAATAAATCCAACTTTATCCATTAAAATCTTATAAAAATATTAGTGGTAAATATTTTAAAAGACACTATTTAAAAATGTAAAATACATAAACAAGTATTCAAATTTGACCTTAGCTGACAAGTAAGTACTCAACTTTGAGAGTGCACACGTGGGATGTGACATGCACATTTTGAAGGTGTCTAGATGATTATTTTGTAGGTTAGAGAGTTCAAACGACATGATGGAGACAGGTTGAGGTGTCTAGACGTGCAAAGTTTGAAAATCATGCACTTGGGAGCAACTTCCACAAGATCACTTGAAATGGTAAAAGAGAGTGCAAACAAAAGAAAGTTCCCATCAAAGAAACAGAAGAACTCATGACACTTCAAGATTTCAAAGGGCAAGAAGATTATCTAACATTAATAAAACTCCCAACTGCAATATTAAAAACCATAAAAATGCAGAAGAAATTCACAACATATGTTGAAACTTTATACAGCCAAAGGCTATATTGAACTGACAGTATTGGCCCTTCTTCATTTAGTATCAGAAATATTTTCAAGTCAGCAAGAACTGTGTCCAAATTAAGTAAAACAATACAAATGTGATAAAAGTTAAGGTGGCTGTAAGTACTGCAAAGACATAGCATTGCTATTTACGTCTATGCTATTTGAATGAGGAAGTAAGTAAATATATACCCTCTTTACCTCATCAAAACATATTTACACGGAAAAACCATGGCAACACGAATGATATTACCAGGCACGCCATTAAGAAGTTACAGAATGGCTGTCCATGCCAGCAACCTCTAGTCGTTTCGGTTGAACCAACACCACTTGCAGTAGATCTTGCATCATTCCACTCTTCAATAAATCTGTTATTGCTAACACCAGTAACATTTTGTGCGACCTCCCCACAAATTTCACACACTCTGCACGAAGATGACACAAGAGAGAAATAACTAAGTCACTATTGTTGAATGTACTGATACGGAACTTTAAAGTTTTAGTAAATAAAACAATACAAACTCCTGATTTCCATGTAGGAATGGGCTTTTTTTTCTGTTTAGATGCTGGTAGTTATGGTGTAGCATACTGGGAAAGTGACATTATGTCAAAGCGACTCAATCACCATTGCAAATTTCCTAGTACCAAAGTATTTATGTTGATAATTGACATGCCATTAAGCTATTTGGAATGCAAAGCAACACGATTCTTCGAGCTGATAACCCGAAAAAGGACATGGAAACAAGAAAGTAAAAGAAAAAGAAATCATGGCTAGTAAAGTATATGTAGACCTCACGCCAACCTTGTGGAAAGATAGAAAGGTTGTTTCATAAAGACCCTTAACTCAAACAACGCATAGCACGGCAACTGAAAAAGACAATACAGAGGTGGAACAAGGCATAGCAAATAATAGAGGAAGTAACTGACAAAGTAGGTATTTTGAAGAACACGAAATCAAGGCTGCATAGATTTGAGAATCCACAACATAAATTCAAAGTAATTCCTATTGTATTTATTTTTGAGCTGAGCATACAAGCAATGCCTACTAGCATGAATCAGGTGATGAATTTCCATAGTAACTTCCCATGACTTACTACATTGCTTGTACTCTATGTTTTTTTCTTCTAATGACATAAAGCATTTTAGATAAAGAACAGAATAGCTATAACATACTCGAGTAACTTGGATAGAAATTTATGGCATTTACCAACAGATTAGCAATGGATTATCACATTTTGTTAGCTACAAAGCTCACAGCTAATACCATTTTTTGTTGTGTGTTCAGTGAACAAATTTTACAAAAGCTGATTGAATAAGATAGATTTAAGAGAACCTAATCTACGTACATTTCCATCGTTCTTCCTAATCAAAGACCAACATCGGATGTTGCATAGAATTTACCGGCTCTCCCCAACTCCCCACTAAATTTTCAATAAATATCAACTTTTGAATCCATGATCTCAGAGTACAATGAGTTCAGTGCTAAAAGTCTTAAAGGTTGAACCCACTGAATTTAAATCCTATATCCGCCTCTGTCGAAGACAAGCTATTCTATTCAGTTATTACACACTAATGCATGATAAAGCAATTGGCTGAATATCAATTTCACAAACCAATTAGATAATGCTTTGAGAAACATTCAGTGTCAATCTAATAAAACAAACCCCTTTAAAGACAACCAGAAGCATGCAAATCTCTCTACTATTACAATTGTGAGATTATCAAATAACAAAAATTGTAAATATGAACGCAATGCTGAGCAATTCAAACAAGCATGTCTGTAATTCGCAAAAAGAGAACCTTTAGCTAGAAAATTTCTGTAAGTAAAAAGTATCTCAACCATAGCCCATCTACGGGGGACCTATCTACACCAGGAAAAACATTATTAAGATCAAAGTATTTAACTATACATATTATCATCATCATTTAAAGAACCACAATATCAAACTAAGAATAACAGTAAACTAGAACGAAACGAATCTAAAATAAAGAACAAAAACAGTAATTACCTGTTTCCTTTTAGCTTAAACCATGCCTCAGCACAATGAGAATGTACAAATCCAAGCTCTCCTTTACATCCACAACCAAGCTCAATCAAATCCACCAAATTCTTTTCAGCTTCATATGTACTCAAATGGCAAATCCTACACACCCTTTGTGCATCTCCTTCCAAATCCTCACCCAATTTCCCATCACCACCATCACACTTCACATCAATTACAGCCGAAAAATCATCACCCTTCTTCGAATCCTTCACTTTCACCTCATTCCCTTCCGAATCTCCATCTTCCACACCAATTCTTGATTTTCCAGTTTCCCCATCTTCATCCAATCTAATAGTCACCAGAGTCTCAGGAACATCCATTTTCTGATTCCGTACATCCATCTCCTTATCCATAACTTCCCTCAAACTTCCATTCAACCAATCAATCAAAAGCAACAAAATTCCAACTTTGATCAGTTCCCTTCCTCTCTAATCAAATCAACCATACACTAAACAGGGTCTACAAATTTCATTCAAGCAATCAATCAAACAATTTATGTGCAAAACCAAAAGTAACAAATCAACCACAAAACTCCAAGATTCATCAACCCCTTTCCCTCTAATCAAATCAAATGAATCAAACACTACAAAGGGTCG